AATACTTCACTAATTGTACCCACCCTTGAAGCAGACTCAATGCCTGTAAGCTTTGAAGGTTAATTTGCTGTTGTAGAAAAGCTTGTGCTTGCTGTTGGGGCAGTAAGGGCGGAAACTGCAGGTCACCGACCGTCCCCGATGGCATGGATGAAAAGGGAGGCGGAGCCCCTGGGTTGCTAGGCGTAGCTAAGGAGATAACAGGTGTAGACAGTGCGTAGTTACTAGATGCGTAATTTTGATTTCCTGATGAGCTGCGACTTGGCTGAAAGGAGAAAAGACAGCAATGTTAATTATTTTGTAGCAGTTTGATGGGACGTTTTTTTTCTAGTTTTTGATTTTCTTGATGGCAATCATCTAATTAAAATTGTCACAAGAAAACAAAACACAAAATAGTTCATAATTAAGGTTAAAACAAGCCTTACAATGTTCATCACTTAAGCAAGAGAGCTAAAAGTTTGAATCGAACACATTTTGCCACTGAAATGCAAATGTTGTCAAGCGAACTGTATGAGTACAAAATGCAGTATTCTGTATGTCCAGACTCAGACCATATCAAACCCATAAAGTATCAACTTCCTTTGATAGGTCTGGAGTTTTCAAATAAAAACTACATATGAAAGAAAYAGTACCACACCTTTTGACTTCTTCACTCAATGACAGCAAGAGTTACCGGAAAAGTTATAGTACACATATCTATTTGAATAATAAAATTTACAAATGCAGTTTTCTCTTACTATGTTTGATGCTGATGAAGGTCTTGATGTGGGAATAACAACTTTTAGATGCGGTCTGTTTGGTGGTTGTGAGGCTGTAGGGTTTGGGGAGAYAGAATTTCGTCCACTTCCGTGCATGGTTGGAGTTGCAAATCCTGATCCMGGGTCACTTCCAACAGAGTTGGTTTGTCGTTGATAAGAAATGYTCTTGTTCATCTCAGCAGCTGCAACTAAGTCGGACATGGTCTGTTGTTGGGGTGGGCCTAGGAATGATTGCAACTAAGTCGGACATGGTCTGTTGTTGGGGTGGGCCTAGGAATGATT